GGAATGAACCAAACTGAGAAGTGAACTTAAATAAATAAATGGGACAAATTGGACCATGACCAATTGTGGAAACCTAACCCAAAGTTCGATGTCCGGGCCAGCAGCATTGGCACCACCTCATTAGATGAGGCTTATTAGATATGCAAATCCCAAGCCTCACCCCAGACCTCCTGAATCAAAACAGCTTGTAATAAGAGCTCATTAAAGTTTGAGAAGCACTGCTCTAAACTATCTAATTTCTCCATTTAATATGTGTTCAGAGAGAATAAGGCTTAACTCCTTACTCAGTTCTGGAGGAATTTGGGAAGTCAGTGAGCCTTGCTTTTCTTTAGTCAGAGAGGGACAGGGGAGGGGAGCAGGAGATCTTTTCTCTTTTATTAGTACAAGACAGTAAATGGGTAGTGTAAAAAACCAAGGGTTTACTGATTTCTCTTGAATTAGATCTTTGTGTGCTTTCTTCCTTAATTTCTGTGAAATAAACTTTCAGAACCTAACATGAATCTGGGTTTCAACATGAATAACACAAAGGGAGGGTTTTAGGATTACTCATGTCTTTGTTTTTTTTTTTTCCTCCACTAATGCAAATGGAAAAGAAATTATTTTGAGAACTACATCATAGCAAATTTTGTCAAAAAAAATTTTTAACACTATGTATGTGCCACTTCGCCTTGCATTTATTTTGCTTTTTAATCTTCTCTCCTAATGGTAAATACTCTCATGATTTTTATTTTCTCATTCTCTTTTTGCTTTCTGTTTAGTGGGTTGAAATGACCATATGGACAATGAGAAAATGAGAAAGAGGACTTTTGGGGGGTGGGTGTCAGTAGCAGCCTTGTTCCTTATATATTAATAAATTAATCCTCATTCTGTCCCCTTAATACACATATAACACAAATGTGACTTGCATCAGCATGCCTTTCTTTACCATATCATCTAGAAAGGTGAGTTGCCGTCTTCCTTTGGGGTCAAATTCATTTTCCCGAAGTCTGATGCCAATATAATCTCCCCTTAAAAGCAAGAGAGCAGCATTGAACCATCGGGATAACACGGGGCTCAGTCTGCAGAAAGAGGCTTCTTCCAACCCCTCCCTCCTCGACCAAAACACAAGAGAAGTTGTTGATGCTCTGGTAGCTGAGTTAATACTCAATTTTGGTTTACCCAATAACTCTACAATGCTGCAGGTTTAAAATGCCTAACCATAATTAACTTAAATCACATTTATCTAAAAATTAAACTCGCATAGTTGGAAGCAGAAATCACAAGAAAGCAAGGAGTATGCCAAATACCCACGCACAGCAATGGTTTTATAAGACCAGAAGGATTGAGACCCAGTGTTTAAAATAGTGAGTCCCTTACTGCCCATGTTAAATTCAGACAGAATGTCCAAAGTTGATAAATTCCAGATATACAAAATTCTGTAGAGGTGTATTCTTTTGTCTTAAGGCTTTTTCTCTTTAGAATGCAAATGCTCCTAGGAGGAGATATGATATGCATAAAAACTTATTAGTAATTTCATTTTAGTGTGTCGTTATCGAGTCCTTTCTTGACAATGATTTTTAATAAGGGGAGATAGAATAAGTGCCACCCTGGAGAAGTCAGAGAGAGGGACTGGACTCTGGGATCTCCGGGGTTCATTTTGGCATATCTCACAATTTTACATCAGGCCAGTTCTGTTTGTTTATTTACCACACTAGAACACTTTGGGCTAGTTACTGTGTAGAAAATAAGTTTTTTTCTGGCTTCTAAAAGCTTTTCTTCTGAGTCATTAAGCTTTTCTAGATTGATATAAATTCTCGAATTTTTGCTGTAAAATTCCAAGATACTTTAAAGTAGCCTAAGTGTACCCTTTGGATATAAAATTGTATTTATATCAGTTTGAAATTCTAATTCTTCAGATGAGCTATGCAGAGAAGTTGGCATTCCTGATCTCAGTTTGTTCTTTATTATTGTATTGGCCTCCAAACACATACATGAACACGTGTGAATTCATATGTAGTCTACTCCAGCATTTCTAAGAAAGTATTAAAATATAATTTTCTTAGTAGGCAGAAAAAAGACATTTGATGGGGACAGTGACAAGTTCTTTGATGAAAAGGGTATTATTGTTGTGTCTATAATATGTATGAGATAGAATATAACCTTTCTTTTTTCCTTTTTTAAATGGTTTGTGATCTTTCACCAACATTTAAGTACTAAGCCAAAGAAAAACTACCAGAGGAGGGAAAAAATGTCCATGGAAAACTTAATGTTTTTCGTGTTAGTTTTAAAAAGAGTTCAGATGTCAAGAAAAAGGAGATCAATTATTTAGTCGATACGTCTGACAATAAAAGAAGCAGAGGCTGCGATTTAAACATTGGGCCCTTGGCTACATTTTTTAGGAATCTCTCCTCCTACATCTTTTACCAGCAGGGCCATCCCTTTCCTCAATGGCACACCCTGGCCGTGCAGGCTGACTGGGACGTGGCTCAGCTCTCAGGCTCTAGAATGGGGTGCTCGGATGCACAGGCTGCCGGCACCAACATCTTCCCTCGCACCACAGGTGAGGCCTCCCTGGCAGGAGACAGAGAGAGGACAGACCATCTCTGGCTTTCTCTATAGTGCAGGGATAGATTCTTCTTTAGATTTTTAACTCCCTGCTAATACCCAGACCATCTATGACATGAAACCCACCAAATGCCAAGTGGCATAAATGACAGTTATTCTCAATCATACTTACAGGAGCTTTTTCATTTCTTTCTTTACGAGCCTTCTTTCCATGACGAAAGGCGTATCCAGCTGCGGGTATCTGCAGCTTACACTACACTTGATATCCTTTGGGAAGATGCAGCCTCTCTGAGCCTGGAGGATACAGCAGCAAATCAGAGAGAATTAGAGTTAGGGATGCTGTCACTCCAAATACCAGTCATGGAGTCCCAGGCTCTGGAAGGGATCCGAGGGAGCACAGTGTTCAGGCCTCTTGCTCAGCAGGCGGGGCGGAAAGCCGTCTGGAGGCTAGTGCACTACTCTGCATTTATCTGACAACTTTTATTCCTGCCAAGTTTTTCCAACGCTAATCCTTGCTATAATCTAGCAAGTAAAACTGAAATGGTTCATGTAATAGTTGATAAGACTGTTTGGGGGGAACCATCCGAATAGATGAACTGTGATCTGGACATATCTGAGCTTTTCTGTGTGTGTTTCACACAGTGACTCCCAGTGAGTTCTCCCTGGAGCTCACCATGGAGTTTTTTATAGAACCCATCTGTAATCTCTGACGGCCAGGATGCCCTTGAAAGAACATGAGGTCGTAGCAAATAGGTCTTCAATTCCCACCCCCAGCCCCCGCCATTAAAACAGAAATTGGGCCGGGCGCAGTGGCTCACGCCTGTAATCCTAGCTCTCTGGGAGGCGGAGGCGGGCGGATCGTTTGAGCCAGCCTGAGCAAGAGTGAGACCCCGTCTCTACTAAAATTAGAAAGAAATTAATTGGACAACTAAAAATATATAGAAAAAATTAGCCGGGTATGGTGGTGCATGCCTGTAGTCCCAGCTACTCGGGAGGCTGAGGCAGGAGGATCGCTTGAGCCCAGGAGTGTGAGGTTGCTGTGAGCTAGGATGACACCATGGCACTCTAGCCCGGGCAACACAGTAAGACTCTGTCTCAAAAAAAAAACAAACAAAAAAAACCAGAAATTGGAGCTCAGGTGATGGGGCAAAAGGGGTCTGAGGTCACAAAAAGGAGTTTATAAAAAGCATCACTCCTGAATGGGGTACTCAGAGAGAAGTATAAATGGGATATCAACTCTAACTGCAATGTTTTGTGTCTTTAAAAAGATTCAAAGCAAATTGTGATGGTTAATTTCTTGTGTCAAATTGGCTGGACCACTATGCCTAGATACAGGGTTGGACATTATTCCGGATGCTCCTTTGAAGGTGTTTTTTGGAAGAGATTAATATTTAACACATTAACTGCCATGTGAGTTGTATTTAACTCACTCTAGCTTTGAGCCTGGGTCCTCGTGAAGCCTTTGTATCTCACACATCTCTACCTTGGGAACTGCGTGAATTATTTTTCAAGTTATAAACAACTCATGCACAGAAAACAATAAAAAAACAATAAATTTTTCATTAAATTAGAAAGGATCGTTTTGTTTTCAAAGTTTTTATTCTATTTTCGCAATAAAACACCATGGCCCCAAAGAAAATTTTTTTTTCTAGTGTGGCAGCCAATGCATTAAATGGGTGGACTTTGAGTAAAGCAGATTCCCTTCCACCTGAGTGGCCCTTACCCAATCAGTCGAAGGCCTTGGTAGAAAAGAGACTGACCTCCCCACCACAAAAACAAGAAGGAATTCTGCCAACAGACAGCCTTTGGATCCAGACTGCAACCTTCCTCTGAGGTTCCAGCCTGCTGGCCTCTCCCATCAGATTTTGGACTGTCTGAGCCTCTGCAATCATGGGAATCAATTCTTTAAAATCCATCTCTCTCTCTCCATGCATATACGCATATATGTAAGCTGAGCTGAGCAGACATCTGCAGTTTACGCTGCACCTGATATATGTCTGTATGTGTGTGTGTGTATGTATATATAGACACACACATCCTGTTGGTTCTATTTCTCTGGAGAACCCTGACTAATACACAAATATAACAAAAATGTTAACAGTTGTTGACTCTGGAATGATGAGTCCATGGATGTGCATTATATTACCTTTTGTACTTTTTATATTTTGCATGTGTTTTTAAATCACTACTCTAAAGATGGTTGGAAAACAAACTTTAGAAACTTTTTTTTAAATCATAGAATATAAATGCTAAGCTTCATTTGATTCAGCTCTCTGACAATGAGCAAGGTGCAAAAAGATGCCACTGAGCTAACTGAATTCTTCATCAGACCAACTTAATGATTTTGGATCATTCTTGCTGCTGCTACATCTCCTTCAGCCTTTTGGGAGTGGAAGAAAGAGGGGAAGAACATCGGAGCATTCCACAGGAAATGGATTAGCTATGAAGACAGTAATACTGCTCCCTACAGGAGAGCCAACTGGGAGAGGATGCTGCAAGCCAGAGAGGTGGCCCCATCACCTAGAGAAACAAAAGCACTGTCCCCAGGGAGGCTCGATGCCGGCGTGTGGTGTCTACTTCACCATTGATTGATGTGGCCGGGGCCAAGCCTCTTGGCTCTTCTCAGGTGTTATCTAAAAAATGATGGACCTGGGTAACATCACCAAGAGCAATTTTTTATTCTAATGTGCTGTAACTCTACAAAGTCTGGCATGTATTAATATTCTTCTCATTCAGTAATTTGGAAAAACATTTGTCGATAGAATATTTGTCTTACCTCAATTCCCTGACAGGGAGTATGCTCACTTAGCATTTACTTTAACCCATTCTTGTCTTGTAATTCTGAGCAAACCCTTTGAAATTCAGACTTACAAGTCATAAAATTTGCATCTCCTGGTTGTGTGACAGCTTCCTGTTAGACCCTCCCATTCAATGCGGCGTAATATGCAAAGGTTTAAATTGTAAAAATATGAGCATCTCCCACTCCCAAACCACTAGACTAGAGGTCAGGAGACTCTGTGAGGCCACCAACTAGCTGTATCACCTTGCACAAGTGAATTTGCCTCTCCATGTTTCTGCATTTTTTCCTCCGTAAAATAGGCATTGACAGATTGGAGAGGTTCTTTCCAGCTGTAAAATTCAGTGATTTACAAGCATTTAGTAGCTAGCCTGGTTGAAAGAAGGCCATTTGCACGGACTTTATTCAGTTAGTTTTGAATTCTGCCAGTTACTCCTTTTTTCTGTCTATAGAGCTTTAAAGAAACAAGAGGCTGGCTGGAAACACACACAAAGGAGATACTGCAAAGACATCAGCAGTCTCGGGCTTTAGCTGTTTCATAGAAACCAACTTCCTGGAAGTCACAGCCTCCGTATTCTATAGGAATATCATGCACTGCAGAATACCTGCACACCTCACGCAGGTTCCCCCGTGTACACTTACAGCTGAGATACAGGTCTCTCTGCTCTATTAGGTGCCGGCTTTTAACAAATTCCCCTTTGAGAATCTCTCACCAATCGGAGACTGATTGCAGTGCTTTTGTTCTTTCTCTGCTTCTGGAGGCTTGAGCATAGGCTCGGCTGGGCTCGGCTTGGTCGGGTGCTCACAACATGAAGAAAATAGATGCTTTTTCCTGGTTGCTAGGAAACCAGGATTGAATGAAATAATTTGTTTTTAAAATACCCCCCCACTCCAAGTCAAAGGGGTGAAAAAAGTCATATATTTGAGACAGGATTGTGATCCTGACCTGAAGTTCACATATCTGTTTACCTGAGTAGGCTTAGGTTTCCCATGTAAATGATTAATCGGAAAGCCAAGAGGATGCGAGGAGTCTACCTCCCCCACGGTTATTTTAGCGTTTGGCTGCAGACATAGGAGTCAATTAACCGGGCAAGAACTGCTGGGGAGCCAGTGAAACTCTGGCTCCTACATATGTGGGGTGCCCCGAAGCACTTAAAGCAGAGGTCTCCAACCTTTTTGGCACCAGGGACTGGTTTCATGGAGGACAATTTTCCACAGACCTGGGTGGTGGGAGAGGAAGGATGGTTTCGGAGTGATTCAAGCACATTACATTTATTGTGTAGTCAAATCTCTCTGCTAAAGATAATCTGTATTTGCAGCCACTCCCCAATGCTAGCGTCACCACCTCAGCTCCACCTCAGATCATCAGGCATTAGATTCCCATAAGGAGGGCACAACCTAGATCCCTCACATGGCGCAGCTTACGGTGGGGCGTAGTGCTCCTATGAGAATCTAATGCCACTGCTGATCTGACAGGAGGCTGAGTTTAGGCAGTGATGGGAGCGATGGGGAATGCTGTAAATATGGATGAAGCTTTGCTGGCTCACTGGCCACTCACCTCCTGCTGTGAGGCGGGGTTCCTAATGGGCCATAGGCTGGCACCTATCTGTGGCCTGGGCTTTGGGGACTGCAGACTTATAGTGATTCTACGTGGTAACTGTAGACACAGAACAGTGGAGACCCTGAAGAATCAAGTCATCGCCATCTCTCTCCTGCTAATTGGTCTCCCTGCTCACATACCTGCTTCCTTATCCTAACACTTGCTCTAAACTACTAACCATGGCCTGTAAGTATCTGTAAGTCAACATCTAAAATTTTGACTTCTCTTCTCCTGAGAGCTTCACATCTTCAACTGACAACAGAATATTTTCACTGGGATATCTTTTAGTCATTCCAAATTCACTGCAAACTCTAAAACTCAACTTACCTTTACCTTCAGAAGAGTTTCTCTCTAGCCTTACTGTAATTTCTTTTGTTTATCCTTTCTCCAC